CGGACCGCGAGATCGTGACCTGGCTGAAGTCGGACGCTTAACCGACTGCGCCACCCAGGCGCCCTGTTCTTGTAATTTTATACCAAAGAAATCATGCAATCTTTTGTGTCTGGTTTCTTTCACTCAATGTACAGTAAGGGAGAGGATTCTATTGAGGTATACCATTCTATCGCTGATGGGCACTGGAGTTGTTTCCAGATTTTGACTATTCAAACAGCGATGTTTATCAACATTATGGAGCAAGCCTTTTGGTGACATGGCCATGCTTCTTGAAGAAATTGTCCACATGTGCTGATGTGACATCCTCACCTCCCATTCACTCCTCATTCCACTGCAATCAGCTTCTGCTTCCAGCCTCCGCTCCACGATTAGCCTTTGCCAAGAGCACCAGCAGGCATTTCTGTGGTGGCATCCTCTGGGTATAGTTTAGCCACCAGACAACACTGACAGATTCTATTCACTTCTAGCTCAGCCTCCACTTGAAACTCTTGCCCTGGGGCGCCTGGGTGGCGCAGTCGGTTAAGCGTCCGACTTCAGCCAGGTCACGATCTCGCGGTCCGTGAGTTCGAGCCCCGCGTCAGGCTCTGGGCTGATGGCTCAGAGCCTGGAGCCTGTTTCCGATTCTGTGTCTCCCTCTCTCTCTGCCCCTCCCCCGTTCATGCTCTGTCTCTCTCTGTCCCAAAAATAAAATAAAAGACGTTGAAAAAAAAAATTAAAAAAAAAATAAATAAATAAATAAAAAAGAAACTCTTGCCCTCATCATTCCTCTCCTGCCAGTGCTCCCAGGCCATGTTCCCAGACAGCTATTTCCTCACTCAACTCTCCTTTGAAGCAATATTTTCTTTCTTGCAGCCAATCCTTTGCACATGCTGTTCCCCATGCTGAGAATGTCCTTCCTCCTATTCTCCTCCAGCTACCAATCTTTCAGGACTCTGCTCCAGTGGACTCCGCTGGGAATCCTTTCTGTCCTGCTCTTCTGACCTCTTGGTGGCATAGTGCTCCATGCACTCTGGGATGTGGACTCTTGAGGCAGTGACCACATTGTACTGAACTGCTCGGTAACATAAGCTGTGAGCTCATGAAGACAGGGGTCTGTCTTATCCATCCCTGTGACCTCAGCCCCTAGCACTAGGTCTGATGCATACTGGATGCTCCATAAATGAGCTGAATGAGTGAATCGATATGTTAGAAAAAGAATGCTAAAAGCATAGAGCTTGAGAAGGATATATTTAAAAAGATCGCTGTATTTTCTTCTCTGGGAAGAGAGGGTACATGAACTCATAGTATATGTCTTAACTATCACTCATGGCACCCAATTTCCCAAACAAGGCTATATTATACCCACAAATTCTCTTTGTGGGGGGTAGGAGCTATCAGATTCCAGTCCAGCTAATAGTCATTTTGAAATGAACAACGAACTATATACCCACCCAGTAGCCATCCCTGAGTGTAGACAAACCCCATCCTCTCACCTCCTGCAGGACTGTCACAGCCTGACTAGGGGTTCCATAGCACTGGCTTATTCTGGGGATCTCCACAGATGTTTCCATCATATAGCAAGAAGAAAATCTTCCCAGAATGATTCCACCAGAATCATGAACCAAATGTCAGGTTTAGATCATACGTTCCATCTTTCCCCACTGAAAGAAGAGTGTGGGCCCCTGATGAAGCTGGGAACACAGTTCAGAAGAGAAGCTATATCCGGGGTTTGTGATGCTGAGGACAGGCAGGGCTGATGTGCTCGAAAACAGGATGGCTACCAGAGGCACAGCACAGGCTCATGCTAATGCCAAGGAAATCCAAGTACAGCCGGGCAGGGTGATAAGAGGTCTGCTCAATCCCCCAGCTCTGCCCTTGCACCAGCAGCGCTTCTATCGAGGGAGGCTTGGGCACTAAATCACAACCTGTTTTCCTGGCTCCATATGACCATCTTCCACCACACAGAGCTTGGGCAGGATGGCTTAGCTTCCAATTGTGATTTCATGGTTTGGAAAAGCATGGGACATGAGGCCTGCCCTCTACACCTAGGTGATAGCACATTTCTGCTCCATGAAGTTCTTCTCCAGATATGGAGGCCAATATGACCAAGTGACTCATTAAAAGCCTAGGGGCACTCTTGAACATCAAGGGTCTAAAGGTAAAAGCCACGGTAGTAGGGCACCTGTGTGGCTCAGTTGGTTAAATGTCTGACTCTTGATTTTGGCTCAGGTCATGATCTCATGGTTTGTGAGTTCTTTCTCCTGTGTTGGGCTCTGTGAGACAGTATGGAGCTTGCTTGGGATTCTCTCTCTCCCTCTCTCTCTCTGCCCCTACCCTGCTTGCTCTCTCTCTCAAAATAAATTTAAAAAATAAATACATAAAGGCCACAATAGTAACCTGTTTCCCAACCCAGGCTGGAGAGACATATCACCAAAATTTTACGTATGAAACTCATGACAAAAAAAACAAAAAACAAAAAACAAACAAACAAACACCCACGTAAACCTGAAGGGCGTTTTTGAATTCTGCGTTGACTCTAGATGTCAGCTACTGGAGAGCAAGGACTATGCTATTTCTTTTCTGATAAAAATTAGCCGTGGGGTGGAAATCCTCAAACCCACTGAGTTAATGGCAAAAATCCATCTAGATCTAACAAAGCCTTGTTTATCATGATCCATCCTCATGGCGGGTCTGCTTATGGGGCTGGGGAGGACCTGCCAAATGCCTTAGAGTCTGCATCTGCAGAGACTGTGCGAAGTTCCACTTTCACTGCCCACCCCATCAAGCATTATCATCAAGGCAGGCCAGCCCTCCAACCAGAAGAAGAAGGCTGGAAACTTCTTGCCCATTCAAGGCTAGGACAAGTGACTTCCCAAGTCAATAGATGAGATGGAGTAGCAGCAGAGGAAGAGCACTGGGCGGGGGGTTCTGGAAAAAGGGCACAAGTCCCCTGCTTCCACTTGCTGGTGGCATCCACTCATATAGCATCCATGCCTGCTTGCCTCACAGGCTGTGCTGAGGCCCCAGCAGCTCAGTGACTGGGGGGAAAAGGCACTGCAGACTGTGAAGTGCTGTGCCTGTGGCCACACCCCTCCTGTGCACCCTGCCTCCTCCAGGCAGCCTTCCTTGGCTATCCCTGCTGATGCTGCCCTATGCACTCCTCTGTCAGCACCAGGCATGGGGTGAATCATTTCTGCTTGTCCTTATCCGACATCCATGCCCACAGCATACCAGCCCCATCCTTCAGAGTTTCTGCACTGCCTTTTTCCACACCATTCCCTCTCTGGCACTTTCAACCACCCTATCACAGGGAGAGGCTGGGGAGGAGGTGGCAGCAAGCCTAGGTGACTGGCTCCTAGCCACCAGCAAGTGGTAGAAGTGGAACCCAAATCAAGACTTTCAGACACCAAACCCCACACTTTATCTGTGGTCCCTGACACAAAGGCCAAGTCAGGGCAGGAAGGAGAGCGGTGAGAGCTGCTTCTCAGCAAGGGATGATGTGACTCAGCTACCCAGCCCTCCTCTGGCCCCAGCTCTAGGAAATGGCCAGCCCCCACCCTGACCTCGCAGTCCACACTATCCATGTCCCACCACCCATGCTGCCTCCTGCTGGGCACTGGGAGCCCATGGTCTGGAATCAGGCATGGGACAAGGCTCAGCCCATGCCTCAGAGGTCAGGGGGCACCAGAGACCCCTGCAGTCACACCACCAAGGCTGCCAGAGAAGGTTGCAGGTGGCCCCGGCTGGTGATCTGGGTGCCTCAGCTCACCTGTTGTGCCGCTTGTGAAACACACAATGGAGAGGTCACTGGGCTTCGGGGGCTGCAGAGTGAGAAGAAGTGTATGTTAAGAGGACCCAGAGTGGCCAGCCAGGGCCCGAGACCCCTGGGATTCTCAACCAGCCAGCCTCTCTGTGCACCCCCACCCGCCACGAGTGGGTATAGAGTCGTGTGCCTGCCCCTGCCTGCAGCCGTCAGAAAGGTGGGCTGGCAGGTCCTCAGGAAAGAGGCTGAGGAAACTTGATGGGGGCTTGGACATCCATCTGTCACACTAATTTCTCACCTGGTCCTGCTGCCTCCCCAGCTTGAATCTGGGATGGGATTGGACTACAGTGGTCACATCTAGGCCTCTAACAAAGACCTCATCTTCTCGGTGGAGAAGTTCCATCCTGCCTTCCCACTTTCTCCCAAATGTCTGGGGTTAGGCCTGGGGACAGAATGTGTGGCCCAGGAACTGAGATTCCCACTGTGTCACCAAGACTGCTCTGTATCAGACCCTGGCCCTGGCCCAGGGCAGAGTCCTGGGGTAACCAGGAGGAGCCTATCACGTCCACTTGTATGCAGAAGAGATGACATGAGTTGGGACTGAGGGACAAGCAAGATCTCTCCAGACAAAGGGAAGATAGGCTCTGGAAGAGGAACTAGCCTGGTTACTGGTGGAGGCATGGAGGCAAGGGTGTACCAAGAGTTTGGAAAATGGTGCTCTGAGGCTGGGGTATGGTATGAGGGAGGTGGGCATACACCAGGGCTGCCCATGAAGGGCTGATCTGCATATGAGAAAGCTCAGGGGCAGGTAAGAAGAGTGGGAAGGGCTGAGCTGGAGGGAAGACTGGAGGCAAGAGGCCTCGTAAGCAAGCTTAAAACTCCCACACGGCTCTCCCAGGAACAGTGACCGTCACTGGTGACTTGACCCCAGGAAGTATCACTCGGGGGTAACACACAGAAAAGTTCACGGGGCGCCTGGGTGGCTCAGTCAGGTCCAACTTCGGCTCACATCATGATCTTATGGTCCGTGGGTTTGAGCCCCGTGTTGGGCTCTGTGCTGACAGCTCAGAGCCTGGAGCCTGCTTTGGATTCTGTGGCTCCCTCTCTCTCTGCCCCTGTCCCGCTTGTGCCCTGTCTCTCAAAAATGAATAAACGTTAAAAAATTTTAAAAAGAAAAATTCACAAAGATGAACAAGGACAGCAGATGTTACAAGGGCACTTGGCCCGGGGTTCACTTCTAATTCTGTTGCTTCTCCTGTTCACCCCATCCTTGTAGAGTTCACTACCTACAAGGGGAAAAAATAAGCCTTCCCAAAGAAAAGGCCTCTGGAGAACCAAGGGTAGTGAGGAATGGCTGCCCTTTTTTCTCCATCTTAAACGTCTGACTCCTGTTCCAGGTCCCTCTCTACACCCTCACCTACACAAGTCCTGGTTCCCTGAGTGGGTATTTCCAAAGCTGCTCACAGCAATGGCTTATTAACACAGGGGTGCTTCTCTGACCCCCTAGCAAGGCCCCGTGCATAGTGAGCGTGGTCTGTGAGGATAAGCCCCGCACACCATCAATAAAGACCTGCTGGCAGATGAGCTTACCACAGGGACGTGATGATTCCGTTGGCCACACTCCTGGAAGAGAAAACCATGATTTTTAAAATGCTCAAAAGTTCTGATTGATCAAAACAAGTGAATAAACAAAAAATCAAAATAAGCTTGGCATGGTGGAGAAACCACCTCCTGCCTATGTGGAGAAACCACCTGAGTGGCCTCTTCTTATATGCACGTCCAGGCCTAAGCCACCCCACACATTACAGACAGGGGCCTGAGGCCCAGGGAGAGGTTAGACACTGTGCACGTGCACAACGGGGGAGACAGCTTGAGGTGTCCATCGGGACACATGCTCAGGACAGAATGGCTAGGTGGCCTACACTTCCAGATAAATGGTCAAGGCTAGAGGGGCAGATGGGGGGTTGTCAGCATAAATGTGGCCCCCAAACCATGGACGGGTACAACTGCCCACGTATTACAAGTATAGTTGGTGACAGACAGGCAGGTAGGAGAACACCTGGAGAGCTCAGGGGCCTACATCCAGAAAGGGATGGTGGGGGTGAGCTGCTACTGAGGCGGGCGTGAGGCCCTGGGGACCAGGATGTCCTGTGTCACTCTAGCAGGCCACAAGCTGCCACCAGCCTGATGCCTCTGGGGAGGTCATGCACAGAAAAACTGATTCTGCTGGCTGCTGGGAGTTTGGGACACACTGAAGGAACCTCTCAAAGACTCCTGGACCTCATGTCTGTAGTATTGAGGCTCACACAGGCTGATGGCTAGCTGAAAACATGGAGGCTCCAGAGGCTATGTAAGTAACTCTGGGGCAGGCTGGCACTACCATATACCTATTGGTGCCTGTGTTATTCAATGTGCCAGCCAACTGAGTCTGTCACCTAGAGGATGCCTATAGGCACCAACCTCACCACCTGCCACCAGCCCTTGTAAAAGCCTGCCCTATCTCAGCCCTGACACACCCTGATGGCCCAAGACGTCCACCCCGGGGCATGAGAGGGGCAGATAACCAGCAGTCCTGGCTCAGCAGCCAACCAGCTACAGCCCAGTAAATAGCCCGGAAGCAGACACTCACCTCCACGGCCTGCATGGACTTAATGACCACCCCACACTCCTGCCCTCGGTCTTTCAGAGCTTCCTCGAATGGTTCCATGACAATGATGAGCTTCAGCCCTGGAGTCTCCTTCCTCTCCACATGTTCTAGCAGAAGCACAGCCTTCTGAGGTTTATCCACGACCACGGTGCTGATGTCAGCTGAAGGGACCATTAGGAAAAGTCAGGCTGTGTGAGCACAGGCTGTGACTGTGGGTAGCATGTGCTAGGCAGCAGAGCCATGGGCTGTGTGTGTCAAAGCTTGTGTGTAAATAAATGCAGAAGACAGGCTATGTAGGCTATGTGTTGTACACAGAGGAAAGTGCATGGAGCTTAGGAGAAACGAGGGCAAGAGGCCAAGGAATGTCCTGGAGCAGATTCCAAGCATTCCTTTGCTCCAGGCTCAGGATCCATAATCTCAGGTCTGCTTGAGGTTATTTGCCACCACCACCCCGCTTCCCCCGCATCTGCCCTGAGCTGAAAAGTAAGCCTCAGAGAGTCGGAAGCCTGTGTGGAGGCTGCTGCAGAGGCTCCTTCACGGTAGCCAGGCCCTGTGGAAGGTGCCTTCAGGTGAAGTCCAACTGGGGAAAGCCAACTCAACGGCCAGATTGGAAAATGTTCTTTGAGAATGGAAGCAAAGTGCTTACTAGTATCAGACAATTAGCGTAAGCTAAGAGGCTGGGGTCCAGGGGCTGGCTGCCAGTGGCAAGAGGAGGCAGTGGTGACTCACCTGTGTTGATAATGTAGCGGATAGCACCAGGGCCCAGGGTGTCATATAGTGGGATCACCACCATAGAATACGTGTAGCAGGCAAGCTCTGCGATGATCCACTGTGGAGACACACAGGTGCGGGGTTGGGGGAGCATAGAGCAGATAGGAGGGCTGTACTGCTCTTATGCCCAGGCAACCAGGGTACTTGTTCTGGGTCTTCCTGAGAAGGTTCTGTTCTGGCCCTCTCCATGTTGCAAGGAATCCATGAGGTTAACTGGTTGCACCTGCTTCTCCACAGCTTTCTAGAGCACGCATGCCCCAGGGAATTTGGGGCCTCCAAATAGCCCAAAGCCTATTTCTAGGCCTTGTGGCCTTCTTCCCTGGGTCTTTCTTCCCCCATGGCTCAGGAAACACCTGTTTGTGGGGCTGGGTGGGGTGTAGATGGAGCTTGGCTGAGATGTCCACTCCTGATTAGGGGCAAAGTCAAAGGAGTCGGTGGTGGCATGGAACAAGTACATCCATGTTTTCTCTTGTCCTAGGCCCTACACGCAGTTTGACCAGGGCTGTTGTATGGTACCCAACCCCCTACTCTACTGAAACCTCTAAAACCAATCAAGGCAGATACTTACCTCTGGTCGATTTTGTGCAAAAACACCAACAAACTGATCTGTACATGCTTTACAATTGTGTTGCAGAAGTCCGGACCCTAGATATTCAGCCCTGTCGGCCACCTGCACATGGACATGGGGAAGTGATGGAAAGCAAGGACTTTTAGCAGGGGAGGAAAATTCCCAGGTAAGGATTCCTACAGGTCTGAGACCTCCCTAAGACCCTACCCAGGTCGGCTGGAAGTCCTCTGAAGTTGCTGCTGGGAGTCTGGCAAACAGGCCATGCAAGGAAACAATGACCCTCTGAGACCCTGCAGGGTACCCACAAGCCCCACAATGCCAGGTCTACATGGGTCGACAGGGTGGGGCCTGTCCTCTATCACTCACCTCCTGGTAGGACAGCCACTGATAAGGTTGCTTGGGCTTCCTGAAGCCAAGACAGGGTCCATTCCCTGCAGAGAGATAAGCAGGCCTTGTGCCAGGGAGGATGGTAGGGTGGGTGTCACCTGCATCTGCTCATCAGATAGGTGAATGGACATCCCATCCTGTGGGGTGGTCCATGGGTCAAGCGAACTGCCCCCAGCTGCCTGTCTAACCTGCTGAAGCTGAAGGAGGCCTAAAGCACACAAGCATGACATGTCCTCAAGGATCAGGGAGGCCCTGGAATAAGGACTAACACAGTGCCAGTTCCCACCATGACCTGTGTGATGTAGCCTCAAGGGGACACAAAGACGTGGGGACTATGAGGCAGAGATGGAGAGTTGCCTCTCTGTGACCACTTCCTTTTGACCCATACCCTGGGTCACCCAGACATCCCAGAGGCTCAGGCTCTGAACCATGCCAGCCAGAGGCCTGGCAGTTTGAGGCTTAGCAGGGTCTGCCCATGGGAGATATAAAATAAGGGCCAAGGAGTGCCTAGGTGGCTCAGTTGGTTAAGCATCTGACTTCAGCTCAGGTCATGATCTTGGGGTTCATGGGTTTGAGTCCTGCGTCGGGCTCTGTGCTGTTAGCTTGGAGCCTGGAGCCTACTTCAGAATCTGTATCTCCCTCTCTTTGCCCCTCCCTGGCCCACATTTTCTCTCTCTCACTTTCTCAAAAATAAATAAACATTAAAAAAATTTTTTTTTAACTATGAGCTAAGAGATGGTTTAAGGTCAGGCAGTGCTAAGGGCTAGAACAAAGCTGAGGTCAGCCCTTCGGCCGCATAATGCAGTTACTTCCCTGAGTGGGAGGAGTGCCAGGAGTTGCTTTTCTCCTCTGAACCTGGCAACCACTCACCTGCCACGCTCCTGGTTCCCTGCTTGTCGGCTCACACCTTTGTACCTGCTCAACCCTTGGCAGGGCTCCTCCAGACCCTCACAGCCCCTCTCACCTGCGATGCTAAGCCCACGGCGGAACACCTCGTACATGGTCCTGGCATCATCATAATAGTGGGTGAGCAGCTGAGGGCCATCTCCAATCACAGATCGCCGGGCCCCGCCACTGTCCTACGAGCCAAGCACAGGCCAGGGAAGCTGGCTGAGGCAGGCATAGGCATCAGGGGAGAGCACCAGTATGCAGCAGGCTGTACACGGCGTGGATGCACACCAGGGCCACACAGTTGGGACTGGGACATGCTCTGTGTGCACTCACACACATGGCCTACACACACCTGGACGGTACACACACAACCTCTACACACACTCACACACATATGGCTGGTATACGCTTGACCTATATGCAGCTACACTCAAACACAGTTGGCTCACATACACAGGCCCAGTATACCGGTCTCCCATACATGCACACAGCACCTAAACACTGCGTGAGCACACACAAAATGTCCATAATTTCAGGGACTGTTCAAATATACCTATGGTTCATTCATACAATGGAATGGTGAGTGTTGGCTAGAGTCAGGCTACCCTCTGGCATCAGGATCAGCCTGGAAAGGTGGCCTTCATCCCATCATCTGTTGCTGCTGTACCCCTAGGTTAAGAAAAATTTGGGTGCCATCCATCATTCACATAATAGCGTGAATTAGTTTGAATACTGGCTAAAGGTGCCTGTCCAGGAACACTCCTGCCCATGCCACATGACCCCTCTACGGCACGAATTCACCCTGTGTCTGCTTACTACTAAAAACAAAAAATAAATCTATGCTGCTCCCTCCAGGATCCTGGCCCATGGGCCTTTGTCCTTGCTGGCCTCTCAAAGTAAGTTATAATTAAAATTACCAAATAGTCTGGTGCTTTCTCTGTGTCACCTTACCAAATCCTTACCACAACTCAGGAAGTAGATACTCCTTTTATTACTCACCTGACAGTTGAGGACATTGAGGCTCAGAGAGTTAAGAAACTGCCAAGAACCATACAGCTAGTAAGAGGTATAGCCAGCCCTTCAGGGCTCCTGTATACCAAACGCCATACTGGTAATTACTCTGCTAGCCTGTTGGTAGCCCTTCTCCGCTGTCCAGCCACCCCATATGAATCTCCATTTCCCAAAGCCACCAGGTACAAGATCACATACTCACATCTTTGCACACATCATGCCTTCTGCTGGAAAAGTGCCCTGAACATCCCCATCCTATCTAGACCTGCACACTCTCCTAGTGGGCAAAACTCTGCTATGCTCATGGTTGCCAAGATCAAGAGCAAAAAAGGCAGGATGTTGAACTGTATATGCAGCATGATAGCTTTTAAAAAGAGGGGCAAATATCTATTCGCTCACAGATGATCATTACTAGGTTTCCGTGGGGAAGAAAAGGTGGAAGCTCTTCAGTCTATGACCTTTTTCCCTTTTGAAGTGTGAATATATTATCTATTCAAAATGAATAAAATTTAAGAAAAAGATAATTTTTAAAAAGGCAAAATAGGGGCCCCTGGGTACCTCAGTCAGTTAAGTGTCCGGTTAGTGATTTCGGCTCACGTCATGAACTCCCAGTTCACAGGATTGAGTCCCGCATGGGGCTCTGTGCTAAGAGTGCAGAGCCTGCTTGGATTCTCTCTCCCCCTCTCTCTGCCCCTCCCCACTCTCTCTCTCTCTTTCAAAATAAATGAATAAACTTAAAAAAAAAGGCAAAATAAATGTCACAAGCTTAAGAAAGAAACAAATCTCACTAGTCCTTCTAGATTTAGTCTGGAATACCCTTGTCCAGGCTGGGCCACTCCACCTTCCTCCCCTCCTCTGTGAGTCCATGTGCTCTGGGAGGACAGGGGCACGGGTGGGCTCAGTTCAGAGTCCCAGCTCCAGACCATGGCTGGGCACAGAGAGACTCTGGGAGGGAATTTATCTGGCAGCTCCTTGAGAACATTAGATTTTCTACTGAGGCACCAGTGAGCCAAGTCTTCCCACCCAAGAGACAGGCAAACTAGAGGCCTGGTGCAAGACCATGATTGGGCTCTGCCCAGGGTTCAATTCCTGGGAGAGGCAGAGGAGCATCTAGCAGGAGACGCTGCTCAAGGCTACTGGGGGGCTTAGTGGTTCACTGCTTGGGGAAACCAAGATTCTCTGCACCATTTTAGGTAAAATCGGCTATAAGCTTGGCTTCTACCTTCAAGATAACTGTCCTCTGCCCACTCCTTTCCACAGCCCAGCCACTTCCACATTGCTCACCTCCACTTCCTCTGACTGCATCAGGAGGTTGCATGGTGGTTGTAAGGCCTTTGGCCGGTGAGTGAACCAGTAGGCGAGGATGGCAGCCAGAGCACCCATACTCACGAGGGTGGTGGCTGAGAGGCTGCGGAAAAACTGGCCCAAGTCGCCCAGCTCGGGCAGCCGCAGCAACCTCAGTATCTCTTGTGTCTGCATCTTCTCCAGAAGTGAGAGGATGAACTCTGTAGGAAACAAGAGGTAGGTGAGAGAGGAGAGCTGATGGCAGGCTAGGGAGGAGTCTGGTTCTGTCCTTCCATCTGTCTTGGATCACAAGTGACAAAATGACCTTGGCCAGGCCCTGGCCAAATACAGTAGGGCAGGCCCTGGGTTGGTTGGGGTGTACAGTCTTCTTGTGCAACACAGTGTATCCCTAGACAGGCCTGTCCAGGTGACAGGCCAGATCCCTTAGCGGTCACACTTGACAGTCAGACATCCGGCCCGGTTTTCCTGAGAACCATATGCTCAAGCCCTAGGCCATGGATGACAGATGCTTCCCTATCTTCCAGGAGCCAGGGAATGCTCTAAAAGCTCTGGAATTAATGCCTCCTGAGCCCCAGGGTTTGGGTGCTCTGCCTCTCCTCTGTGTTCATATTATTGTGCTTCTCTTTGCTCCTGGAGTATGAAAAGCACAGTGACCAGAATGAGTCGGTGAAGGGGTACAGGTTCCTCCTAGTCTACCTCAAAGTTCCCAGCACCAGGCCCTCATCCTGAGGGAGACAGAGAAAGGAAAGGGAGCAGAGCCCATGGACCCACTCTTACAGGTGCCTCTGGCCCTCATGACATGAGGGCAATCATCTCTCTGGCAAGGGTCCAGTGAGTGACACAGCAGGGCTTCCCCAGGTCTACATCCTCATCATACCATAGGCTCTTCTTGAAGAAAAGTTGGAGCCACAGTCTTGCCAGGGCCAGAGGTGATGCTGGGGCCAACTTTGTGAGGAACAGCAAAGTTACCAAGAGCAGCCAGGGTGGGATCCAGGTACTGCTCCCTGGCCCCAGACTGCTGACCACTATGCACTACAACTCTGCATGGCCACTGACCAAGCACCAAGAGGCACAGCTGGCCCCACCATTAACTGGGCCCTGGGCCGTCCCCCTGGGACCCAATCAGCTCATGTCCAGAGGACACAGAAGTGGCATAGGGGAACTGATGGGAAGGGAAAGGAACCAAGGCTCAGAGAGAAAGGGCTCAGCAAAGTGCTGTGTGCACTTCTAGGGGTAACCAGCACTCCTTGTGATGTCACATAAAGTGGTCAGGACTCCATGCTTGCCCACCACAGTCCAAGTGGTGACAGTGGGCTAATGAGGGCATAGAGAGGATGGCCTGGGGTGGACAGTGGAAGTGTTGCTGTGAGAAATACTATTAACTAAGTTTGGTTCAAAGAGAGCAGGTCTCAGGAGCTGCCACGTTCTCCTGATGGCCACTAAATGAAGCAATGATGGCAGGGCAGACATATGGCCAGTTGGGCTAAGGGTCTTCACTTCACCCAGGACTGAGAGAGGCAGTGAGGATGGACCAGGCATTGGATGCTTTTATCTTCACTAGGGCATCTTCAGTGTCACTGCCCAGTAGGATTTGAGGCTACAAGCACCACATAATACCTATAGGTCTGCCAACCTAATGAGGGCTGGGTAAGCTCCAGGCTGCCATGCACCACTTATGGCCGCTCTCCTTACTGGCCCTTGACCTTTGGAAGCAAGACTGTGGTTTTCCTTTTTGGAAAACAGTGAGAAACCCAACAGCAGCTACTCTGCAGCCATAGGATATGAGCCAAACAGCAATTGCTTGACCCCAGAGAAAGGAGCAATCTGCTGAAATCCCAATAAATAATATTTGTACTAAATTGTAACATTACCACATCAGAGATGAGATCAGTGATGTGCAAGTCACTGCAGAGAAAGCAAGTAAATCTTGATTCAAATCCCTTCTTCTCCACTTATCAGTGACACAAGGTTGCATATAACTCACCTCTCTGGACCTCCACTTGCCCATCTTTAATATGGGGACAGTATCACAGAGGCATTTACTCATACTGTGCCTGGCATAGTTAGAGGCACGCCATGACTAAACAGATGGTTAAGGGGTATGGTTGTCAGACCAAGGAGGCAGGCCCAAGCACCGGGCAGAGGTGGCTGGGCCCTGGATATGGTCCCTCAAGAGTTTATGCTCTATAGATGGCACAACAGGCTGTCTGAGTGTCTGAATCCTGGGAACACTCATGAACCACCCCCAGGTTCTAGCTGCCCCCTGGAGAGCAGAGAAAGTGAGCCCCCAGCCAGCCCTCACTAAATTCCTCACTGAGTTCATCATTCTCACTGAGTTCCTGAGCTGGAAACTCAGTTTTACTGGTAGCCTCCTTGAGCTAGATCAGTTTTGAGGCCATCTCACAGGAACAAATCACTCCTGGCATATCGATCACGTTATGGTTCTGCACCAGCAAAGAAGAGGCCCAGCTATGGACCCCAGTGAATTCACCAAGGAAAACCACTCTGGGGAAGACCCTGGGCAGGCAGCCAGCTAGTTTCCTTGGGACATTTACTTCCCTAAGCTGCAGATGGGGAGACCAAGTGACAGCCCTGCCTATCAGAGAAATAACTCAGTACACATAGTGGAAAATCCGGATGTGTTCATCAGCTCTTGGGGTGGGCTCGGAGCTCATTGACTTTTCCTCTAATGGGCTGAACTGGTTCAATGGGCTGAGAAGCCTCTGACAAGCCTTAAGAGCTCAGCTGTACGGTCCCCCAAAATTTTAGAAAGAACCCTACAGTCCCTAGTCCTCGGCCATTGCTCATGGGCCCTGAGCTACAGCAGAACGTGGGTATCTGCAGCATTCGCTGATATCCACAGAGCACAGCCCAGAATGGCCATCCATCCATCCACCCACCCAACCCCCATTCACTCAGCAGACCCTCACATGGTCACTGCTCTCATCTAGATCAGTGCTGGACCCTGGGACAAGCCAGATGTGGGCCTGCCCTCCTCCTGGGCGACTCATGAAGGAGCGGACAGGGCTGTGCAGTGTGGTCTGGGCTGTGATTAGGCATGGGGAGCCAGAGAAGGTGCTCGGCGCAGGCATGGGGAGTCAGGACAGGCTTCTGGCAGGGAGTCATACTGATGTTGAGATGGAAAGATGAAGAGGAAAGGATGTCCTGAACAGAGGGAAGCAAACGTACAGAAGCTAGAGCTGACAGAGAGCAGAGAGCACTTAGCCAACTGAATATTCCACTCAGCAAATAAGGTCTGAGCCCAAGAAATCTTGTACAATGGTCAATGTCACAAGTCTGAGAGGCTGGCCTCCTAGATATGCAAGTTCTCAGAAGTCACCAAAGTATCACAGGCCCCAGGAGAGGGAAGAACAGAACTTGTCTAAACTTGCTGAATTCCTGGTGTCCAGGAAGCCCTTGCCGAAGGTGGAAACACACAGACTCCACAGAAGAAGGTACTTGCCATCCACAGATACAGAGGGGGCAACTAGGGAAGCCAAGATCCAGGGCCCAGACCACAGCCTCCCATACCACTACCCCATCCCTGCCAACATTGGACCATCATATCCACACCTGTGCCCTCATTTGCAGTGGGGTTGAACCCACAGGTAACCACCTCCAGACCTGCTCAGAAAGGCCCAGGCCCAGGCTGCAGGGGAAGGAGGCAGCACAAGGCCACCAGATCCTATGAAGCGGCATCAGGCAGTCAGGCCCCTTCGCTTCTTCTTCACTTCGCACACAGTAGGGGTGGGTCCTTCAGACCGTCTTCTCCTGGCTGGGACCTTCTCTCTAGATAACCCATTTGCCTGGGGCAAGGAGGGTGGTGGAGAAAGGGCTTGGCTACCCACTCCTCCTCAGGCTCCTACTTAGGTACCCACCCTTAAGGAAGCATCTGAAGTGAATGTAGCAACTCTGGCCCTGAGGCTGGGCCTGCACCCCTCCCTGCTGGGTAGCAACCAAGGGAATCAGTGGTGCACATATCATGCTCCTAGGCTTGCTGACCTTCTCAGACATTCAGGGCTGCCTGCGTATACCCTTAGATTCCCTGCAGACCTGGGAGCCACTGCAGGGCAGAGCTGCAAATCCAGGTCTTCTGAGGACATGGGCCTGAGAGCCAACCCACGCCACCAAACCCTTCGCATGGGGGCAGGGTAGAGTCAAGGCCTGGGGTCTGGTCTCATTTCATTATTTCAAAGGGCCTTGGCCTCCTCTGACCTTTACTCTCTCTCCATTAAGCTAGGGTGGGGTTTGGTGGTCCCTGGGATCCCAACAAGAGCTGCCTCTTCCCATACCCCAGGAGGCTCTCCTGGTGGCAGCAGCATAGGATGTGGGATGGGGGTGGGCTGGGCAGCACCCAACGGAATCAGTGGTGCACTGTTGCCAAGTGAGTGTTTGTAAATATTCAGCTGGCAGGAGGACCGCGCCCTCGGCACAAACTAGTCTCCTCTCCCCCAACATATCTTATACCTCTTTGTCCTCTGGCACAGAACAGTTCAGGACCCCAAGTGGTGGCACAGGCTAGGGGACTGAGAGTCCCCCCCCATCCCTCCCCTCCTTGTACCATGTTCTCCACTGATTTGGGGCACATGGAAGGTGGGTGGTGAGTGGCATAGCTGTCAAAGCCCAGGAAGGGGAAGAATAGGAGGAAAGAAACCCTGGTGGGAAGCATATTGGCACCAAGGTGGCAGGGTGGCAGGGGTAGAGCCCCAAGGCACAGTCCCTGTTGGAGATGGCCCTGAGGCCCTTGGCTCAGATCCAAGAACCCTTGGCAGACCCAGCCTCCTAACTGCAGCACTCTAGACCTTCACAAGCTACCTAGATGGCTCTGTCAGGGCCACCTCCTAAACACCTCTCAAAGCTGACTGCTCCTCTTCACCCCCACAGCTCATGGCCTGGTCCAGCTACCACTAAGTGCAGTTCAGATTCCCACACCAGTCTCCTCATAGGCATCCCTGCTTTTAACCAGTGCTTACACTGATACCAAGGTTATTTTCCTGGTACACAGATAGGACCATGTCATGCTACTACTCAAAAACCTTCTCTGGCTCCCTACCACCTTAGGACAAAAGTCCAAACTCATCACGCCAGTACTGAGGGACTTCATGACTCTCAGATTCTTTCCTCCCCTTTAAATCATTCAGGTTCCCTCTGCATCCACCCGGAGTGGGGTGGGA